TATAAAGATTAAAATTAAAACGCGATAAAATCCTTAAACTAGTTTCATTTAATATGTATTGTTAGAAGATAGGAGGGTAGTAGCACACTGCGACGGCCTATAAACGGAGCAGCGCTCGCCATGTCAGGGGACTTTCTCTTCAGCCGTTGTAGAGTGCGGAAGCTCTACCCGAATTAATAACGATTGTGTCGGTTACTTAGAATTCTAGTGAAACTTCTGTTAAGTTTGGCCTACTGGCCAATAAGTTCTTCTTAAAAAAATCAATCATCGTTTCTATTTCCTAACAGTATAATATTCATGAAAGAAATCAATATACAGGGAGATTTTTTGAGAATTGCCCAAATTTACACAGGAGGTTAAGACTCGGTAGTACAATCGCTTATTGAAATAAAAAAGTCTTTTCTTCCAAAAAAAATGCCATTCTATTCCCTAAAAAACAGAACGTGTTGCCAATGCGGTAGTCATTCATAAATACCTAAATTTTAGTTTTACCTAAATTTTAATTTTGTGCACGAACTTGTGTGCGTGTTAGTTATGAGCGTCTTTTTTAAGATAAGTTCAAATTAATCTAATTAATAACTTAAGAGTGATTTTAAATATTTATGATTTTTTATATAACATTATTTATGTCTATATAAGATATGTCTATATATATAAGACAGAAGACAAAAGCTATCGACGCTCTCAGTTACTCACAGAAGCTAAAATGGCGATGGGCTGGACACGTAGCCAGACTTACTGACAACCGCTGGACTACAAAAACGACATCATGGTTAGGACCAAAGAAAAAGGGGCAGACCGAATGCGCGCTGGGCAGACGACATTAAAAAAATAGCAGGTACCAACTGGATGCGAGTAGCAGAGAACCGAATACATTTGTCAACTCTGGAGGAGGCCTTTACCTTCCGTTGAGAGGGGTTCTTGCAAATTTACTTTTATAATTATAATTAATTTATTCTACATAACGGCACATTGTTTCGTTTTCAAATTGTCAATTTCTATTGTGTAGCAAGAAATAAAAGGCTTTTTATTTATTTATTTATTTATGTCTAAGGTGTATAAGATATCAATGTTTTTTTTTTAATCATTTAAACCAAAATGATTAATAGCTCATTGTCCGCTGGTTAATTCAATATACTCAAGCAAGTTTTTGAAATAATAAGTTTCGAAGATATGTGTCACCAACCCACAGTGGGGCTGCGTGGTGGACTATGCCCTGGTACCCTCTGTACACAGGAGGCCTTTGCCCAGCAGTGGGACATATATAGGCTGTTGCTTTACTTTATTGATATCGCAAATTTGACGCAGCAAATATTTTTGAAAACTCCAAGGAAATAAAACCGGAATTTCATTTAAACGCTGTTACTAGAACGACACGAACGATATACGACAGTCGCCGGTATACGACAGATTATAGAAAACTATTTTAAGGGATTATTACAGTGACTTTGTTTTTCTATAAAATTTTATGGAGCAACATTATTTATGTTCGCAAAATATCACTACTTATTTATTTTTTGTTATTGTTTTGCTATTTTGATTATAACATATTTGTTAAATATAAGATGGTGTTCATATTTAAACGTTTTCTAAAAGCAAAAGTTAATCGATAGATACGAAAGCGATTAATCAAGCATTGCGTTGGCTTCTAGTAATTAAGAGGCGACATTAAATTACTCGTGTAAATGTGTTGGTGATGCCTTCATTGTAGTTGATTTTTTTAACTTGGTTTTTAATTAAGCATCGATATGTATTGGCTACTTGTGAGTTATTAAGTTATATAAAAATGCTTTATTTTTAAAACGTTCTTAGACGGTACACGGTATAAATCTCTAAACAATAACATATTTGCACTTCTTATTCATAGTCTTATACAACATTCATTTTGATTTTAATAATTATTTAATTAAAAACATTTCTAAACGTGTTAGGGCTGCGCAACAGTACTAAGACCTCGCAGAAGACCGGCGTGAAGTGGAAGCGTTAATACTTGTGCGTTTCGCCTGTTGAGCGAGGTAGCCGGGGCCCACTTTATTAAAAAGTGACAACGCATCTACAACCCTGCAGGTTTTGCAAATGTCGATTATCGCGTAACCTCAGGTGGAGCCCAGCTCGCTCGCCACATCCTCACATAAAAATTAAGTAAAGCGCTTTCGTAATCGTGTAGAAAGCATTAAATTTAACATATTATTAAGTATAACATAATTCATAAATCTGATTTTCTTTTATTTCTTCACCTCCGCAGAACAATAAAACCTAAGAAGAACAGTAAACGGTTAAGGTAAATAATACGGAGAATGAACTTTTGCCATATGAATTTGAGAGAAAACTTGAAAAATGTGCAAATTGTGCGGCTTTATCAACATATGCGTCATTTTTTAATCTCTTTTTCTATTTTTTTTGGATTACGACCATTATAATTAAATAATATATTAAAAAAGTCATGTACATTTTTAAAATTTGGTCAGTAAAAATTTGCATGAATAATAGGAAATTCGATTGTTAATAACGTTTTTCATCTCCAATGTGACGAATTCTGCGTGTAAGAGGCGAAACAACATTTTAAAAAGAATTTAAGTAAGCAATTAATCGAAATATTTATAATAATGATGTTTTATGACTATCTACTAAAATTGTTTTCTTAATAATTACAGGTTTTACTTTCGCACAATGATACGTTACAAATTATTCCGACTTTCTTTATATGTATTTTATTTTACGTCCCTGAACAATAATATATCTCGATTAAATTTCGCAAGCTCTGTAAGAGTAGGGGTCATGACTCGCTTAAATATTTTATTGCAAGTGGCCGAGATTCGTACTAGTTAGCGCCGTGCCGTAGCTTTGAGCATTTTTTTTTCAAAGTTTTCGCGGCATATTTCCCGCACGTTTTAATGAACCATTGTGTTTTGTTATATCGTTCCTATTTGCTTATTTCTTTAGACGGCAGTTGAAGAAATTAAATTATGAATAATTGAAAATATTCTTTGATAATATACATTCAAGGAGCAATTTTTTAGTTATTTATATTTTTATCTAAACTTTCAAAAACTTATTTTAAATGGCAGACCAGCACTACGAAGTGGTATTTTCTATTTATAGTATAACATAGTATTTGTTGTTTATATAAATGGCATTCAATGTCTTAAACATTCATTTCAAAGGAAGACTACGCACCCTGTTCATTTTTCTGTAAACTTTTTATATTTGAGTATAGGCACGATTGTATGAAAAACTATTTGGTAAAATGAAATAATAAAAGTCGTGGCTAAAAATAGTATCAACTTTTTATGACATCTCTTTGGCTGACAATGAATAATTGAAACATAAAGTTCGGTTTTAAAATGTAAATGTATATCCAACCACACATTTTTCACTTCACTTTATTCATCTTCCAGTTCTCTTTGAGTTCTAGCGCCCTAATTATAGGTAGACTTTTCGTTTAAAACTTCCTATAAGCGAGTTTAACTCCGATCGTGTTGTTTCGATCTTTTTGTATATAATTTTCTAGAATTTTGATCGTTTCATAAAAAGTTCCGGACTATGAACCCTGAATTAACTATGAATGATAATTATTAGTGTAGAGTAAAATATACTCTACATTAATAATTATAAATTAAATCAAGTACGGTATTCAAAACTAATAATAATGGTAACATTATCCTTGTCCAGGATATGCTCGTCCCAAGCATCATCTGATCCATGAAACCACGCAAGCCTATCTACGCGTAAAGCTTTTGAAGATCCTCTGCCCTGTTATATCCGGTATGTAACATCGTTTCCCAGTTTGGCTGAAGTCATAGAGATCTTCCCGCCGTATAGGATTATGAAGCCGCGATCATACCCGTATCATTAGCTTGAAGATTTACTTATACATGGATGATGCAAGCATATTGATTGCCTTGAAAAAAGTTATTTTTGCTAAAAATTCTAAAGTTTTGTATAATCAATTATTATTATGAGATTATTAATAAAGTTATAAAGTTCAATATTGCATTGTACATAATAATATATTATTATACGACACTATGTGTATGTGTGTATTTATGGTGCTCTCTAAAGTCTCCCTGGAGTCCTAGTAAGCAATTAAGTGTTTCCGTTTATTGAAAACCCTGCAATGCAGTCTGCATCAGTCCCAGAAAAATGAAATTTCAGTGAATCTGTAGATGTAATTTCACATTTTAAATTAAAGTATGACATTTGAATTGCACATTCTTTAAAATTTATAGTTTATGATATAAAAATTAATAAACAATTTGATGTTTTGTTTTATTATTGGACAATTGGTTTAACATGATAAAAATATTTCGAAAATAATTATTTGAAAAAGAAATTAGATAATTAAGTAAAAATATAAAAAAATGTCCGCACATCCGCAGTGCGGTCGAGAGTTGTCGGACTATGTCCTATAATAAATACCCTTTGAACAGAACCGGCTTATGCCGTGCAGCAGCAGAGGTATAGGTCGGGTACTTTTATTAATAGAATAGGTTAAAACTAATTTGATAATCTTTGAGACTATAATTCATTTCGCAGAAATAATATAATGTTTTATCATCTATATTACTCCATCATATACAAACAAGCTCAAAAATTCAAGACTATTAAAGAAGCAAATTCTATGTTTCCCGCAATTTGTACAGGCTCAAATGTGACTTACGGTAAGCTTATGGTTGTTCATACATAAGGAAAATAAATATGTGTGAAACTTGAGAGAAGTGGTGCCGTTGAGATTCAAATAGCTTTTTTAATTCATTCTTTAAGGTTCTAATCTATATAAAAAAAACAATACTTAGTTTTATGACCATGTAAACGTCAATAAAACATTTGGTAGAAACCCATTTTAAAATTTGAAATTTCTTTATTCAAATTTAAGCAATTACTTAGAAAATAATGCGTGCAAGACCGATAAGAGAAAATAGTAAATTAATATTGCGTGGAGTAGTTAAAACTGTTTACAACCTTTATTCACTAATCGATTTTATTCAGTGCTGTTCGTTATGTTGGGTGCTGTATTGGCATTAACTGGTAAGAATGAACAATATACTAATAACTTTATGAACATTTAAGAATGACTTAAACGTTCATAAAGTTATTTGTTAACTTTATGAACGGTTTAATATAGTACTTTACTCTTTTTGAATGAATTTTGTAATATTTTATTTTTAGCGTTAGCGACATTGATTATAAAGGATGCTAATAGTTTAAAAATAGGCGAATTTGCTATTGAGGGGCTTTTGGACAGCATGCAGCGAAAACTCTTAACTGACCGCGAAATGAAACATTCAAATATTTATATAATACCGGTAAACAAAAATGAGAAAAATGTAAAATATGTAAATAAGCTTATAGACGACATTGAGTACTGGAAAAGTAATGATGACTGGAGCAGGTATAAAAAAGACAATAAGAATTTAGGCAGCGTACTTATGCAGACTGATGTTATTGACACAAGAAATAAACCTCAGAAGTTCAAACAAAACATCATGTTACAAAATCTTTTAAAAGAAGTGATTGCACATAATATACGAGTACAAAAGAACAGTCATAGAAATTCAAAGGAATTCAATGTTGGTGCTAAAAGGAAATCTAGTGACTATAACGAATTTAAGGACCTGGAAAATTACTCCAAATTTTATCTCGTTCTTAATAATCTACTTAATAAAGAAGACTCTAACAGTATTAAAAAATTGTACGATTCACATACTTATATTAAAATATGTTTGTCCAATTTAAGTCCATTTTATAAAATTCGATTTGTTTTGCAGGATTTCTAAGCTTCTCGCAAGTAAAAGGGTGAAAACCAAGAATGAACAAAGAAAACATTTATACAAGGGTTTTGCGATTAAACATAACTTATTACCAAATCATAGAAGACGCGATTCAAACGAATGTAAGAATTCAAAATAAATAATAGTATATGTGACTAATAGTTTATCACGGTACGTGTTTCGTCTGGTGAGTTAGGTAACCGGGCCGGCAGAGAGGTAAGTCTACTTTTTGTTAATGTTAGCAACTAAATGCGTTGCTAACATTAACAAAAAGTGGTGTTGCAGATGTTCATGACCACAGGCGAATCACCCACTTGCCCAACTTTTTTTTTTCCCAAAAAAAAAAAATATTATTGAATATTTAAATTTTGTTATAGTGCTCTGCTCTTAAGCTTAATCCGAAGCGCGAATCCCGAAGACGTTGGTTCAATTCCCACAGCGGCTAGAAACATTTGTAACATCCGAAGGGTTGCAGATACGTCGCCACCTTTTAATAAAGTGGGCCGCAGCCATCTCACTCACTAGATGAAACGCAGAATTAAAATATTTCTACTTGCAAGTCGTGAGAGCCATGATGAACGCTCAGTGTCCGGAAGCTCGGCTTTAATTCACTTTCACGGGCAACCTGAGTTAGATCCATGGTGCCATCACCAATGAAGGAAAACATCGTAAGGAAACCTGCATATTATCGAAATAATTACAACTTTTTGTTCCAAAAATATGTGAAGTCCGCCAATCGGTAGTGGGGTCACGTGGTGGACTATGCCCTGCTACTCGCTTTACAGAGGAGATCGATAATCAGCAGTGGGATATTTATAGGATGTTACTTCTTTTTACTTTTACTTCAAGCCGGTCTTCTGTGAGGTCGTAGTACTTGCCCGGTTAGACCATTTAAGTAAATTGGAATTATTGGTTAATATCAAAAAGTTGTAAGTCAACTTCATTTTATCGTTTTTTGAGGGTTGGTGTGCGTGTGCGTCGTAAAAATGTCATCTCATAATATTTTCCAAACGCGCCAAAAGAAGTAAAACTTCAAAATGTTAATTTATATTAGAATATGCTAAATGTATAATAAAATATAAATTTTGTTGTTTAATAAGGATTTCGTCTAAATGTCAATTGATACGTGGGTCACACTGAAAGTTCTTAGAAAATCATAAAACGGCTCAATGTGCAAAGTTGCCAATACTTTAATGTTGTTCGAAATAGTTTCCCTTCCTCTCATTACATCTTCACATTCTATATTGTATGGATATTCTATAGAACCATTGAGAAAAGCAATGGGCCCATTCTTTCTCGCGAGTCATCTTTCGCACAGTGCAGCTTTCATCACCTGTGATGATGTCAAATATAGCATTAGATTCAACTCCGTTGAACTTTCTAACATTTCTAAACACCAATCCCAATAATCCATTTGGTACAAAGCTTCCTGACGCCTAAATGTTCATGTAATATTTTTTTTACTTGATTCAAATCAATTCCTAAGCTTGCTCGAATCTGTTAATATTCCACTCTCTTACCTTCCCCTATCTTGCGTCGCCCAGCACTGATGTTATCTGCACATGTCACTGTTGATGGATGTCCCTCACGCAGTTGTCACAAAGATTGCTACGCCTATGCTTCTAACCAATAAACCAATTGTGGCTTGGGATGGAGCGTTATTATTAAATGCCAATTGAAGTCTATCATAGCTTTGTTGCTTAGTACGACCAAAACGAAAGTTGTATTTAATCATAAACCGAAAATTATATCATTAAAACAAATAACAAATGAATATAATATACCACGCTAAGTTATCAAAGATATAAGATTCTTTATGTTCGTTTTATTTCACATATTGAATTTGAAAGAAGTTTTCATTGGCAATGTTTCTAACTATCTTGTTCTAAAAACTTTCAGTGTCACCCTGTTACAATGACACTTTCCTTAACAGATTTTTTACGGAAAATTTCAGACGCCAGTTACGAACAGAAACGGTCTAATAATAGAAATAAAGAATTTATTGGAGGGCGGACTGGCATACCATATGCAGGAAATCGCCATGTATATGAAAAAGGATATAAATAAAAAAGGAGGTAAATTTGGTAAAGGTAAATAACTTTAACTCCGGCGTAATTCAAATCAAATAAATTTTAAACGATAGAGATAAATCTCTAATGAATTAATCAACAAGCAGAATTCGGCGGTCGCTTATAGTTTTCGAGAAAAAAAATATTTAAAACTTGTTTTTTGTACTAAGAAATCCACCATTTTATTTGTTTGACTTCAAAAACTCAATACACAGTTCTGCCAACATGATAAATATAGGAAGCGGGCGACATCATACACGTATCGATATTCCGATTTTTTTTAATTTAATGAGTCACAGAACCGACACAGAGCGAATCCGACTCGGATAGATTAGGTTAGAAGGTTCAGGCGGGAGCGGAGCTCCCGCCTTAACCTTCGATGTTAGGTTTTTTTTTTTATGACCACCAAGAAATACGAGCTGAATTGACATATTGACAAAAAAAATGGCGGATTTCTATAGTAAAAATCACACTATTTCATTATTTATTTTTTCGAAAACTATAAGCGACCGCCAAATTCTGCTTGTTGATAAATTCATAAGTGAGTTTTCTCTATCGTTTAAAATTTATTTGATTTGAATTACGCCGGAGTTAAAGTTATTTACATTTACCGTAAATTTAACTATTGCAACGTCTCTAATATTTAAATAATAACTAGGAAATGGTGGAAAATAATAATGTAACGTAAATGTTTAATAGTTGATTTAAAACATTTCAAAATAAAAGTTGATTATAAATATGTGATTTGTTATTTTATATTATCGGTTATATTTAAGAAATATATTTTACAGAATCAACGCATAAAAATAAATCAGTAGTATTTGCTTGAAAGAGTAACAAACATCCATCCATACATAGAAATTTTTGCATTTATAATATTCTTCTTCTTCGTGGTCTTCATTACTGAAGGTCGTGTCAGTCCTGAAAATTTTTAAGTGAATCGGCGACGAGCTGCTTCCACACCACTCTATCTTCGGCTTTCTTCAAGGCAGTGGAAACAGGAAGCCCGGTTATAAGCTTCACTTGATCAGACCACCGGGTGATAGCCCAGGTGGTCTTTTGCCATCCACTTTCCCAACTACAACTACTTTTTCAAAATTATCCGGCTGCCTGCGGGCGATGTGACCAAAATAAATTAGAATTCGTTGATAGCAGATATTTATAATATTAGTAAGGATTATAATAAAATTGTCGCCTGTGAATGTAAGTGTAATCCAACAGGTTTCGAAATCTCTGTGTTATGTAGTGATGTGACGTTAAACCATCGCTACCCGTTTTGGTGGACAATGTCGTTGAATACAAGTTCCGTTCATCGATATACCACCCATAACTTACTGCACCTGCACTTATATTTACACTATGCACTTCATATAGCTCTTATCTAAATCAATGTTGCAATAATTCAATTTGTAACGATAATTTAATTCTTGTAGATAAAATAAATTCATAACACTCAATTTAAAACATTACCACAATAACGCGCAAATCGGATTTATGCGGGACATTGATCGTTCCATTTAGATTTTTTTAAATAATCATAAGGTAGTCTTCAATTTCTCATTAAATTAATCTAAAACTTTTCATATTTAGTGAAAATGTTCATTAAATATCGCACTGAAATTTGATGCAGTTTATGGGCTCGTCAGTATATTTTGACCGTAATATAATTTTGATAATAAAAGTTATATGATTAAGGAAAAAGTTGTTTTCAGATTCAGATCAGAAATAAATAGTTTTTAATAAACAGACAATATTTGATACTGTATTGACTGTGGATACTGGTTTAGTGTAAGCACGAAATGTATAATAATGTATGATGACGGAAATTGCGAATTCCATGTAAGTGTTAGATTTACATGGAATTTGCAATTTCCTTCTCGAATATGTGGTTTAATTTTATAGGGTATGTTTGATTAATGTAAAATATAAAACACAATAAATATTTAAGTCTCATACGATATATCGCGTCTAGATGTATATCCATGTAGAAATATCTTGAATTGTACAAAAAAAGAAAGTGAGAATATCATACGATTATTATACATAATTATGTTTACATTCTTCGCTTACAATTAATGATACAAAATTGCAATAAGTTTCGCAACTAGCAACATTTTAATTTACATTTTCAATTAATGTTACTTTGTTTGAAACTGAAAATATCTTATTGAAAAATGTTTATTAATCATATTATATCTATAGTATGGGTTGAAAACTTTTTCATTGCTCGGACTTTTAGAAAGAGGAGTGAATTGGTTTTTATACAAAGATATATATAATCGGAGTCTAAGAAACGGCTCCAGTGATTTTCATGAAATTTAGTATGTGCGTAGATTCGGGGGCGAAAAATCGATCTAGATAGGTTTCATTTTTAGAAAATGTCCTTTTATCCCTGTTTTCAGGGAATGATATTTCATTCGAATATGACGGTACATTTCGCCGTAAAAAATATTATAATAGCTCGGTCGGTATATATATATATATATATATATATATATATAAAATTAGATGAATTTTGTATCAATATATGTATGCGCCAAATTTTTATGCTATAAAAATTGCACCTTCATCGCTGTATTCGTTATCACTTCAATTAACAATCACTGATACATGTATGAAATATTGCCTTCAATTTTTCAACGTCAACTGGATGAGCGATGACATCTGTGGCTTTACTTTAACCACCTTGTCGTACTTTTTATAGTTATTTATTTAAATCATAGTTTTAACATCATAAATTTCACCATCATACTTCATTGAAAAAAAGCAAGGGAAATGGTGGTGAACGCGTGCCACAAAGCGATTTAAGGAGTTCCTATTGAACACTGGATCTGCTGCTTCATACGACGGCTACTAATGAATGTATAGACGGTAAATACTTCGAGAAATAATAAACATTACAGAAATATAAAATCTGTCTATATCTACCACTGTTGGCTTTGGGAAGCCTTTACAGATCCGCCGGAATTAATGTGGCCGGGAGCTGAGGTGTCTAGCCTGAACCTCGGTTACTGGAGACTAAGCTCGAGGGCTCCCAAGTGAGCCTCGGCTCAGGCCATCATGCTATAACTATTAGATCCAACGGTTTGGGAGGCCGCCAAGCTCTATGTCACTTTTGCGGACGCTCCATGGAGTGACTGGGGTCAAGGGCCCCCGAGAGGGGACTTCGGCTTGGGCTATCACTCAGTTCCATTTAGCATTCCGATTCGAGGGTGCGACCGGTAGCTGTAGTCTATCATTACTACTACTTCGGAAAGCGTTTCCGCTGGCAGAAGAAGTGCTGGAAGAAACTCCAGCAACGCTTATAGCATTAACGGGGGAAAAACTGCCAAGCACGTGGCGGAACCTAGTATATGTTTACGTGTGCTTTGGTGTGTTATAGTGTGTTTTGGTGTGTTTGCGTAACTGTTTAATTATGTCGATGGCGATAGTCGTCTCATCGTCAGGTAAATCGAGGACGTGTCGCGGTCTACGCCAATTGTGGTGGTACGTACCCAGCGCTTTGTAAGTGACAGTACGTACGATTAACGGGTTGGGATGCGCGGCGGCGGATTCGAAGTAGCGACGCGACGCCGACTTCAGGAATTGAACGATTGTGGGAAACTCTAAATCTACGAGTAAGCAACGATGTTGCGCATGACTACAGTGCTTTCGTAGCTGTGTATAACCTAAGAATACATAATATATGTTCTGTATCTACGCGTGATGTACTACGTAGTTGTTGTGACTTCTCGCCTAGTGAAATAAAAAAAATTAAATGTGTCGAGCAAACATTTTTAATCTTTTTTCATGCAGCCTGTTTATCAGTGATGAAATGCTGCTTTGCACAGTATTTATCTCTTTAATTTAAAGTCTGCATCTGCAACTTCCTTCAACTGACATTAAGTGAGATCCGTGTCCCATAGGTCCATAGGTACTCCTAGCATTGGTTATGGTGCAGCTTCGTAGTTTGCCACAACTACTAAAAGTTTGTTAATCAAAGTATAACTTTTATTTAAGAACTTTAGTTTTATGCATGTTTCCTGTAAAACTTGTCACTTCCCTGAACCAGCTGCCTTATGGGTGAAAAGAGCATTATTATTTTGTATGCTGTTATTATATTATAATAATTATTAGGAAAGTTAATTCTAGATGTGATAAGTGACGTCACCACGTCCTTAAACAGCAGCCGCAAATTTAATCCGGGGAACGGGAACAATTCTCTCCTACCCTTTCTATCATCTCACAGGTAGACGTTATGTAGGCCGTTATCCTTTTTTATCGATGTCTCGCACACGAATTTTGTGGTGTGCCTCGTCTTTTATAAAATATACAGTGAAGGAATCGAACAATCTGATGGTATCTGTTTCTCTGGAAGGTGTCTTCAAGGCAAGACTAAATATGATTACACTGAGTTTCTGAACTATGGTTGCATTGCCGTTACTTAGATTGGATGACGATCAAGTACTAGCAACTTTTAAGAATACCAGTAAAGTATTCATAGCTGTATATATTCCTATTACGTAACGGTAAAACATTTTTTTAAAATAAACTAAGTAAAATAAAGTTTTACCTCATTTTGATAGAGTTTAATTGTTTTGAGATTCTACATCTTTGCAAATAATATCATTAAATAAAACTAATTAGTGTCTACACTTACAAATCATTTGTAAAACGTGATGGATTGTGTTGTTGTGAAACATTAGAGATAATAAAGATATTACTTGAATAATCCTCTTCCTCTTCCAAACTTCTTTGTCATTTTATTTAAATCATTTATTAATTGTATATAACTACCTACTTTATTACTTTTGGGTTTGTTATTTAACAATTCTCTTCTGAACATGTAATGCTTAAATAATTAATTTAAATTTTTTTTTTTTATTCGATCATACAATAACTATTCTAGCTGTAAGTTTTTAAAAAAAAATCTAAAATAGAATAAAAAGTCAAAAGGAGATACAAACTGCACGCAAATAAAATGTAATGAAATGTTGTAATTATAATAGTAGTAAGCAAATACTATAATTAATATTATGAAATGTTTGCATGCACATTGCATAATTTTCGTTATTCATATTGTAACGACCTATTAATAATAATAAATATTATTATTAATTAGTCATAATAAAGATCAATTAAGATGAAAATAAAACGTTTAAGAACGTTTAGTCACAATAAAAGTTAATAATATATACTTAAATTTAAGAAATATAAGTGTTAGTATGAGAAAATGATATTACCAAAAATTGATAAAAAAATAGTTAAAAAATCACTTAAAATACTCAAAAAAGGATATTTATTAAAAATATAGCAAGATACGATCACTATTATGTCAATTAAATACAATTCCATACTTAGTGATTTCTAAGGGAAGTATTATGTACCGTGCGGGGACACAATTGTATGATCGTACATATATAAGTACAGAGGTCGATCGCGACTCTTAGTACTATAGTGAAAGTATATTGTATGAACGTCCCATACCAAGATCATATGGAAGTAAGGTCTAATGGATAAAAGTAATAATATGTGAAGGCTCAGAGAAAAAATAATGAATATATAAATATAATGAAGAGCAATGAATGACTTGGGACTTTATAAGAGATATTACTATGGAGTTGCATGGTACTTCTGTACGACGATATGGTCTACGGTAAACGTGGAACCATGATTGGATATGTCTTGAGTGGTGGACATATATCATCGATAGCTGGTCGTAGTTGGCGTCTTAGTGACCATCACTATGATACGTTGACTGTCATTCGGCATAGTAAGAGTTTGGTGGTGGTTGGCGTCTTAGTGTGTTGCACTATGATACGTCGACTGATCATCTGACTTTGGGGAGTCTGGTGGTGGCTTGCGTCTTAGTGTATTCCACTATGATACGTTGGCTATTACTTGGCTTGGGTGGGGGTCCGTTGGTGGTTGGCGTCTTAGTGTTTACGCTATGATACGTCGACTATCATTCGGAGCGTGAAAGAGTATGTTTCACGGAAGACACTTCGTGTGTTCCGAGTATATTCTAAACTTTGGAGCCGAAGTTGATTGGAGTTATATTGATGTGGTGTGAGGGTGTGCCACCTACGGGATAGTCACATTGATGCGTGCGGCTATATGCAGTAATGCGTCTTGTGGTAGTTGCGGGTTGTTCTGCGCCTAATATCATTGCATCGTATGATTCTGGTTGACGGAGGTTCGAGGTGAATGATGTCTGCTGTGTATGCGGATAGGCTGTATGTTGGCGTGTTGACCTGCGATAGTTGTATTGATGCATGTTGCATTTAGTGACATTGCGTCTTGCGACATTTGCTTGGGAGACGACGCTATTCATAATGGCCGAGTCTGTGTCTCGGTTTGATGCACATCTCAGTAGATTTGTCCAAGTCGGGTTCCTGATGACGGAACTGCAGACTGTCAGAGACTGACAAATAATTATATGTTGCCAATTATAAACCCTTCTGATGGCTAAACATAAAAATCACAACTATGGCTATATCTGACTATTTCAATGGTTGGTGGAGCATATGCGTTTACCTCATGTGGATGGTAGCTGGCGGGAGAAAACCTCTCAAGGCTGCGGCGATGCCGTGCAACGTTTTAACCATACCCTTGGGGTAAGCAGTGACTCATAACGCGCTCTGCGACGAAATGTCGTGCTAACCTTTTTATTGGTGGTGATGCCAAAACACTAACAATCACGTCTGCAGTCGCGGCGATCTGGCAAAAGTGGTGGCGCTTACGGAGGGCTTATTATATCATAGGGCCAGAGTGCCTGATCTTTAACACATGCCCAAAACCGTATTGACGTACATTCACGAAGACTGGATTTGTCGTCGGCTTGTATGACGTTTACACGCATTGACATGCGCGACTTCGGTCAAAGTTTGTGCTTACGCACTGCCAAGGGGCCAAGCCCTCTTTATGCTGGTAAAACAGCTTTGCAATGGACTTCGGTCCTTTCCCCAACTTTTTGTCCCTCTTCAGGGGGGGGGGGGGGGGGGGGGGGGGCGCAATATGTTGGTTGGCGCTCACCGCACACGGCGTTGGTGAGTGTTTTCATGGAACCGTGTGCCTTCCCTACATTTTTTAAAATGTGGGGGAGCTGTTGACTTGTATCGGGTATGTAAAATTGATGTGAGCCCTTTTCAAGAGAGAAGGGATATTAGTTTTAAATTATATTGTGAGCCCTTTACAAGCGTGAGAGGGAGTATACTATATACTCTGAGCCCGTCTCAAGCGAGTCGGGATTAGTTATTAAGAAAGCAATTCGACATTATCTCTGGCTTATACCACGACTAGTGAATAATTATCTATCCAAGATACACCTAAAAGAATCAAGTTACTAAATAAATACAACGTAAATGAGGTCCTACCGAATATGACGATCACAATAATATTTCATACGGCTAATTATTACCTTTAGAAAGATCCTACAGAAAGATCAATAATTTATCCTGGTCACGTAATGATGTTATATGATTTATTCGTATAACGGGGTAAAAATATATATAAGTTTATATAATTATATATGCATGAAGGGGGGTTCAGTTACAATATATATGAATAACGAAAATTATGCATATGAATCACCATTGTTTTAAATAAGAAACTTGTAAATGTATAACTTTCATCAAACAAGAAATTTATAAACACGCAGGTATAGTAGGATTGTAAATAAAAATTCGTTTAATTTTAAATATGTTTTACTAAATGCATATTTTGTTAGATTTAAAATTACGGTTATATCACAGTCATCACTTTTGTAAGTGCATTTATATATTGTAACCAATATATTTATGTATAAGTATGTACCCACATTCTATCATATAATATAAATTGAATAATTTTTTGTAATAATCTACTACTAATTTAGTTTACAAATGCATTTCTACGTACTCTTATTAGTAAAAGTAAAGAGCATGATTTATTTCAATTAAGTGATTAGGTGCATTAAATGCTTTGGTGTTTCTAATATCCTGTGGAATCTTATATATAAACAAGAAAGAGTATTTAAAAGTCTTTGATACTTTACAATTTGTTTTGTACTTTATACGTACTAAGAGAGCCTGTATCTACTAAGTAAATTTCATAAAACTTAGCATGAACAATGAATACAATGCTATTAAAATTACTGATGGAATTTATGCACCGATAGTAATAATTTTAAAACTTTAAAACTAATCATAACACACGCAATAATACACATTTATTTCAGTCGATTTTATCGAATATTAACTCGGCATTTAGAGTAATATATAATTTTGAATACATGCGAAAATCTTAAACATAGTACGAATCTACAATTTTGGGACAATACAATAATTGACTAGGCAAGCTAAGAATACAACGACTCTCTCTAGGCCATCATACATAATTACAAAAGCCCAGAGTTATCGGGCTATTCTAACATTATTATCATGGAATGTTCACTATGTCTAAATTGTCTACATATTATTAAAGTGATGATAGTAAAAAATTAGTCTTAATATGATCATAGTGATTGAAATTTAATTAATTACGAGGATAGTTGGCTTATTGGTAAGAGGCTTATAAACGGGTTTACGTTACTAATATTCCTAGTTGATCATATTGATTTCCTTGGAAGACAAGACAGTATTTTACGTACAATAGGTGGAATAAGTATAGTTAAACAGATAATTTAATAAATTGTGAAACTGTGTGTTAAAATATATTATGACCAAGCAGGGTGAATTTAGTTTTTAAAGACTTTATGAGGTCCTTATTTTAAGGGTATTTAAATAAATAGGAAGCAATGTATAAGTACAGTACAAAATCCGTTACAAATTGTAATACATATTATTTATACAGTGCAACGAATTGACAAATATTTGAAATTACAATCTACTTAAAGGCAATTGATCCCGTTCCAGGCAATTTAAATTTATATACGATTTTTATGACACTAAAACGTATTTTGTATTGTTTTTGTACGTTTTCAGTACCGTGTACATAATACTATATGCGTATTAGATGCAGTCGCACATAATTAAATCAACTTGCACATTGGATTCATCGAAATACTTCAATATCTGTGAGCGGTTTCTCTAGACATTCTAATGGACCCCGTTTCGTCTACGGTGATCAAATTATATTCACCATTTACCACTTCTAATTTTGTTTACAGTTGATGAACACTTCATATTTAGTTACACATAATTTAGATAGTCTGTGAACAAACATCCGATCGCAAATCTGTATTAGTTGGCATATATAAAATTTTGCCATAGATTTGCTGCTTCGCTGGTGAAATACGTCACCCTCAGAGGTAGTTCGGTCTCGACATACAGCAAAGTACTCCCATTCCTTTGTAAAGAGATCCTCTTCGCTTATTTCGCCACAATCCATTTACGTCATCGCCTTTCAGCGCCATATTGGTCTCTGTGAGAAAAAATTATGTAACTCACTTGATTGATGAATGCGTTGGTTGACAAGTCTTGCGTTCGATTTTGACATATGATTGTTTTATAAATGAAACTAATTTTTACGGATTTTAATTCCCGACGTATCGAACCCTTGTTGACAGTTTGTCCCCGTGACCATGAACGCTGTAACGCTGTAGCGCTGGGAATTAAAATTAAAAAATAAACGCGATAAATTAGTTTTATTTATAATGTGTAATCGAGTAAATACAAGAACTTATCATATGATTGTTTTTTTAAGAATTCGTTATTCTTTGTGTCTTTTGTTTTAAACTCCTTTATTTGTCGACAAGCGGGCAGACGGTTCACCTCATGTTAAGTGATTACCATCGCCCATGGACATGTATAACACGTGAGATATGCAAATACGTTGCCAAATTTTAAGAAAGTGGGCTTTTCTTCCTTCCTCTCCAGACGAAACGCGAAAGTTATACTTTCACTTCAGGCCGGTCTTCTGTGAAGGTGCGTTACTTGCCGGAAAAGCGTGCCCATTCGGGCAACAGAAGCTGCTGCGTTAATTTAATTAAGGAAAGAAAAAGTAACTTATTACATATTAATATAACAATTTTCATTTTATATAATGATAACCTATCCATCTCAAGGAGTATTACAAAAGCCTAAAATAAATAAATAGAGTTCGCTTCAACCTTTCAATATCTATATTTTTTATCTAAAGAGTATAATTCTATAGAGTATAATAAGACGAGTATAGACTAGATCACAAAACAATACCTAAATGATTGAGGTTCTCGTGCTGTGGCAGGTACTCCTGGATATCATTTACTATTCTATTGATGTCTTGTGTGTCCTTTGCAATGCTGCACAATTCTTCTTGGTTGAAGTCCGGTGTAATTTGTTTACATAGTAATATTTGACTTATAACGTTTCCAAAGTTTGACGGACCGGCGCGATTCTCTGTGCGGAATGAAAAAAAGTTCTTTTCAAATAATAGATATATTATCTCTAATTTATTGAATAAAGTTTTTTTGTTTAATTTCGTGTAAACCAAAAGTCAAGAAGATTTATTTTAAGTTCGAAATGCATTATGTAATAATGTTTTATCTACCATTAATTTGGTTATTTTGACTTATAATAAAAGTTGCATTAAAATGTCTGTGTTTTTAGTAAGAAAAAACAATTCGATTGTTTTTGTTAAGCTTTTAATTATATACATACCATAGTACGAAGTCATATCCATTGGCACAAGCTGGACAAGCCGGTGACATTTGGCTAGCTCCCGCAGCAACAGTTGGGACATGAAGTACAACAATACCAACTGTGGTTGCTCTGCACTACTGTCACTATTAGCCCTTTTACACATAAAAAGAACATTATAAACGAAACTTAAAATACTATAAAATAGTGTAATAAAATTTTATTATTTATCTTTTAATTGCACTGTACCAGAACCCGCACAAACTTCATTGTAAAATTAAAAGAAAACTTCTGTAAACAGTGTGCCTCGCTTTGAAGCCAATTTCATCATATGGCTTTAAAGCGAGGTTGTATGTGATTAAACCACAATGTGCAAATGATTCAGTAATTTTTAATTCAGCCCTTTAATAATACATTGATGTAAAGAAGTTTAAGCATAATTGCTTTTCATATCGCGAGTGACGTAATAGTGAGCCCCTTTTTTAAATGTCAGCAACGTATCTGTTACCTCAAGAGAGTTGCACATGTCATTGGATGGTGGTGGTACTCAATGAACACTAGGTGAAACGCTTAAGACGGTAGCAAGCTAGCAAAGCTTGCTACCTTCTTAAGTTATAAAATCTATTACATTATTGGTATAAATAGGCGACATATTGGTATAAATATACGACCATAAGGTATAAATAGCATAAAGTATAACAGGGCCTTTTTACAAATCTTTTCTTGTAATTATCATTCTTTTTGTGTAAACTGGGTACATTAAGTATTAAAGAAATAAATATATATATATTTTTTTAAAACAAGAGTACAGAAATACCAGATGAAACATCTCAAACCCAAATCCGTGGGTTCAGGCTAGCCCACCGATTCTGCGTCAGATGAAGCTTTAATAGTCTCGGGACTGAAAACAAAAACAACAGTTAATAGAAGGTTCAAGAACATCTCAAACACCTAAAATATCCTACATGTACTTATTTAAGTTGCATAGGGTGAATAGTATTTTTAAATATAACACCATAATCATATAATGCGGAAAATATTTTATCATTTGGTTTGCCAGAATGCTTCCGTCAATATCATTAAATTACAATGAAGAAATTTTGTTTTGTCTCATTTATTTATTTAAAACTTTATGCACATATGAAAAACAAAGGTTGACTTTAAGCCAAAGGCATTTTCTGCCAGTCAGCGTAACGAATGACCCGGAGAAGTTGAGGTAGGAGCAGAAATAAAATAATAAGTAATACACAAAAATTAGAGAATACTTATACAAAATAATAAATATCCTTACCATACAAAAATACTTTCATATATACATACATACATACATACGTTTAAACATTTATTTATATTAATATGTAAACATTTGCATACCCCTATGAGTGGACTGATTCTGCTGATAACTTTTTGCGTAAGCGCTCGCGAACTTTCCTTTAAATGCATAGTATAGTATAGCAACTCTTAACTATTCTTATTTTGGTTGGCAGCAGAAAAGTACATAGGATTAAGAAATAACACTGCGTGACATCAGAACGGAATCCTTTCCACCGTTCTGTAGCCACCACATTGGAGAAAGTTACCACATTTATTCCTTGAAAATACGACGAGATAAGGAAGATGGAGTGGATGAAGAATCCAGAAAAGAATAAAGTGTGGTCAGCGCTTTTAAAGAATGTCTAAGGTGAATAGGTAAACATTGAAAATGTGAGCTTTACGAAGACAGTAATTGGTGGTAATTAGGTACGATGATAAAAGACGATTCGAATGCAGTTATTCAGAAGTCTGTCGAGTTTATTGAGGCGATCTGCAATCAGGTCAGGTCAGATTTACAATTTAGGAGAATAAATTGATAATCATTGGCCCAATTATCCTCTGATTATTCAGTGATCAGTTAAAATTTTGTTACTTAAATTGAAATATTTAAACAAACTTGTTACATTTAAACACTGATTAAGTTTTAATTTAAATCATTCGATCATTCAAATAAATAAAATATTATTCGAAACCTGTATTATACCGATATGAAAAAGTAAAAAGAAGGCGCAAGTGCATACAATTTTCGTGATTATGTAAAAGGTAAATAAATATTTATTGTTAAATTATTGTAATTCAATATTTCATTAGATAACATAACTATATAGCCTATAATGTATTCTACAGGTGTAATATATCCAGCTGTTTTGAACATTGATCTCATCCTAGACACGTGTCAGATGCCCTCAGATGAAGCTTTAATAGTCTCGGGACTGAAAGCAAAAACATCAGTTAATACAAGGTGTCAGATGCCCACAGACGAAATTATTAATATAAATAACTATATGTGTTAACAACGGAACTGCAGTGCCCACAATGATCTATAGATTTTTATACACTATTGTGGCCTACCGATAACTTAGCAAATTATTTTTTCAACTGATTAACTTACGCTTAATTAAAGCAATTTATTGCATTTGACATACAAATTTTTACGCAGCAATATTTATTTTCAATCCGAATTATAAATTTGTGTGTGGTAAATTTTTTATAGTGCTAATCTCTGCACTTAAGATGAAACATTAAAATTTGTAGAAAAAAATGCAAGAAAAATATTTCGCCGCTGCGGCAATTAAACCTTCTTCCTGATTCGCGAGATACCTATTTAAACCTTCTATTGAACGTCAAAAAATTACTCCCAATTCACTAAAGTAGATCTCTCCAGAGAAGAACCGGCAAGAACCTCTGCGGTCTTATATATTTATTTAATTACATAAGCTTAAAATATTATTTAGGTATATAATTAGCAGCAGCCATGGGACTTGCAAGGGCTGAGCAAGAGTCCTTTCCACACATCCTTGTCCACAATGCATTCTTCGACATTACAATTAAGGTAGCTTTTAAATTTTTTTTAAATTTGTTTTTTGTGGATGTCACTTGTCGTTGTAGCCAGTCTAAACCTCTAGTTGCAAGATACGTACTTCTTGCAGGTAGGCAGTACTAGTTGGCTGGTTTGCTTAGTGGCTTCGACGCAGGCGCGCCGAAGACGCCGTACGCGCTCACGCAGCTCAGGGCAATCAGGTGGCTGGCCGATGTGGATGAGCAGGTCGCGGAACAGCGCCAGTTGCACGTTGATCTCGGCTATCAACTGTTCACAGAGATAATAGGTCGTTGGGCGAATGAATAATTAAAATGAATTCTGCTATATTTAATCGACAGTAAGATAATTATCATAATCATTTCAGCCTGTTTGAGTCCAGTACTGAACATGGCCCCAAAGACTGCCACGAAGCACAATCCTGAGCTACTACATCAATCGACTTCACTCACCTATGCGAGTGTGCCGGAGTGTGCTTCAGTTTACGAATTCTCTCTATACCTATTATATTTGTTCTACTGCGGATGTCTTCGTTGCGAGCTCTATCACGCGGAGAAATACCAAGGATAGCATAGTAAAATAGTAAGATAAATCACATCAATGAATGGACCTTTATAAATGATGGTATGCTATAAGTTTAGAAATTACGAATTGGAGCAATAGCTCCAAGAATTATTGCGATTCCTACCATTTGGTATCCTGAAATATTTTATAACGATTTAATGAGAAACAGTTTTGAAAAGAGCTATATACGTTATTCGCTATGAAATAAATGTTGACCATGTGGTTTTAAGCAGAAAACAAGAGTTTATGCCCTTGGAGTAAAAAGTTCTTAGTGGAACGGAGATAACTTTGGGCCCCCAAATACAATCGGCTTAACCTCTGATAAGGCAATTACTATTGCAGTTTTACCAAAAGCGTTATAACTTAGGTTCCTTCCAAAAATTTAAGCTTTTATGACTTAACTATGTATATTTTTGTATTTACATACATAAAATTACTATTACTTTTGAATAATTTCAGAAAATTTATAAATGAATAATATTAAAATTATATCGAAGTAATAGTATTTTCACGTGTTCATTTTATCTTCCATCCATCAAGCAGTAAATTTCCTCCACGCTGCTGCCGAGGGGAAATGGCTTTTAAACGAACAGTTTAGTCTAGGTAAATTCAATTTTGTGTTTTAATGTCACCGATAAATAACGAACGTGTTTGAATGAAAAAAATTTCAAATTACGCAGTACTACTATACAAATTTAAAGCTATCAAGCTGATTTATTAGGTATTTTGGTTTGAATATTTTTGTATTTTACTGAATTGGTGTCGAAGCCCGTAATAGGTCGGCACCTGTAATCGTGTGTTCAATTCCCGCAGTATTTTTGTGATATACTCATAATTAATATTAATAATATCGAATCTGAATGCTTGTTCTCAAGAACGGTAGCAGACCGTTGTCAGCAAACTCACCCACTTACCTAGGTTGACTAGAGGTATGAGGGTGATGTCTGACAATGAAATAATATACAGCATAACTAACACATAATTAGTATATTTACAAACATACATACATATACGCCATGATAACTTTTTCACTGTTATGTATTGAAACCGAAATATGTGTACATTATTATTTTCGTTGATGAGAAAAGTTGTTCTGTAAGGGAATTTTACCCGTGACCATCGGTTCAAAACCAATAGCTGCACCAACGAGTCGCCACAGTTTTTAATGTATGTACGTTTTAGTGAAAACTATAAAAACGCTACTGTTGAAAACAAAGTCATATGCCTTAGAATATTGATTTACTCTGGTATAGAATATTAATTTATTCTGGTACAAACATTCACCAAAAGTATTAAATAGCTTCCAACAACGAACGAACGTATTCACAGAAGTAATTTTCTCCTCATCAAAATGAAAAATATATGTGAATATAAAATTTCATTGTATCTACGATAAATTTCAATTCTATAAAAATGTCGTTCCACATAAATGTATCACTGTAATGTAACACACAAATAATTTATAATAAACGTGTTTTATACAATGGAAAGAGAAATGTAGTCAAATAAATGAAACAGTTTTATTCAAACGGTACGCCGTTAAAGGAGAATAGAGAATATATTAACAATTGCCTCCTCCCTTAAAACTCCGAAGCAGAGAACTTTGCTTTTTCGAACAAATTTGAGCACAAAAGCTACAACGTTATTAAATGTTTGTCTGTGAGGCCGCGAGCATTGTACGATTTTGTTTGCATATATACAATTTGACGTAATTTTAGTTTTTAGTTCCATTTTGTTGAAAACTAAACAAATTCTAATATCCTATATTTGTCTCTCTGATAGAAAGCTTTAAGGGAAAGTTTTCTTCCTTATTAGTGAAATTGAATGTCGTGACATCTTATTCAAATAATAGCTTTTTGAAAAAAAAAAAAAGAACTCATGGAAGACTAAGTTATCTTCTAATATGTTTGCTACCTAATCTAACAAAATATCTAATCTAAGAAAAAAATATTATTAAGCAAAAATATGAATTTCAATTTATTATTTCCTTTTAAAAGCTAAATTGTATATCATGTATTATTGTAAATATCATGTGCCATTGAAAGATGGATCTACATCGGATTTTCACGCAATGTCTTCCTTTACTTTAAATATCGCCTAAAACTGTACACAGTTTGATAGATTTCATTACAGTTAGTTGTTAGATAAAAACCTTCCAAAAAATGTACCAGTAGTACACATTATCAATTGAGTTAATTTTTGGTCGACTATATTTTTTTTTGTTACAAAGAGATTCAGTACTTAAAACAGTCTCGCTATATGCAGATTTAAGGATATTATGACGTTTAAATAATCAGCTAAAAGGGATAAAGTTTTATTTGTCTGAATACAGACAGGACATAGAAATGAATTTGTAAATACACGTACATACAAAAAGTTGAAACACTACGCTTAACAGTCACTAAAAATTCTTTCATTTTCGTTTTAACAAAAATTTCCATTTCATGTTCATTGTTTTCCATGATATGGATATTTTTAGGTTTATACATATAATTTCAATATTTAATCTACAACGTAATATTTGATTACGTATTACTGCAAAAAAAATTTAATTGTCGTATTCAACAAGCAAGTATAACTTTGCATTGATTTAAAAATGATGTACCACTTTAAAGTCTTTATTTACTTATTTATTTTTAAAAAAAATTGTACAAGCGCTCACAATAGCGGATTTAACACCATTAGTTTTTGTAAATGAGCAAAAATTCACGTTTTAATTGCTCGGCTAATAATTAAATATAAATAATCTAATTTGAATCCTTTATTATGGTTATTTTTTGCACGTACTATCTAATCATTAAGAAGTGGGTCGTATTAAATGCTATTTAATTATTAAGATTTGGATCGTATTAAATATATTTATGTATTATATATACACAACGTATACATGTATTTTGGTACATAAATATTTCTCCTATTCATCACTTACCGTATTTGCAGAAGTTTCGTGTGGCTCATGATGATAAGTGGATAGATGTCGAATAGTTCCCGCCATTCCTTATCACGTTTTAGTTAGCTCTTGAAATTGCCTCACATATATAGTCTCCCTTTTCTTTCGTTCTGACTGTTCATACATTATTCACTAATATTTGTTGATTTTCTTTCCGTTGTACGTTTTGTACATTTATTGTCGATACATATACTATACTACTATACTATATCGTTTTATGATATGTAATAAATAACAAAGCGTCAAATACAGTGCTAAACTTTAATAGTTTTTAGAGAATATCGTTAAATTGTTATCGTGTAAATTTATGATGCTATTAATTACTTCTATGAAGTTTTGACGATATTTTAATTCAATCGGTATTCTTTTCACATCCATCAAATCTTAATCCATCAAATCTGAATAAAGAAATTTTTCATCTAAATTACCAAATGAAATGTAGTCACAACTCGTGATATAAAAATGTGGATACCAATAATCAGGTAATCTCTGTGGCTCATTTCCTTTGTCAGATCTATGTACCTATATCAATGAAGATTCGTATGTCCTGTCCGTCATGTACTCTAACTCTGTATTTATTAAGAGCAAAAGATTATAAATATAAATTGCTCATAATTTGTTTCATAAAATGATTACAATTTTTATTAGAATTAGCGAAGAAAAGAAACTTACGTGAAATTCGATATAAACTCTTTTTTAGTTATGATTTTTTTATTCTGTGTTAAATTGAATAACAAAATTGGCATCGGTAAGGGAATTTGTATTTTTCATAAGGGAAGGAAAATATGTTGTATCAAATGAATTTCATAACTCAAAAATGTATCTTCACCAAATGTTATTCATTATATTTTTATGTATATATTTATTACGTTTATTGATACATAATATGACAACTTAGACTACATAGTACCCTTATTATCTTTATTCGATAGTTTTAATTTCACAAACGCAAGAACATACACGTAAAACCTTTTAAAATGCAAGTAAAAGTTAATAAACGTACATACATCGAATGTTTAAACGGACACCCAATCAAACATAGGAGGTAGAAATAAATTATATGTTGTATGTATAATGTTAAAGAACCCAATAATGGACATATAATGTGAATCTAAATAAAAAAACCATTTCAACGTTTATAAAAAAAACTTTTGCGTAATGCATATGAAATTTGTAGTACTTGTTTGGATATATATTTTTAAGTTATTCTAGAATCCATATTTTAAAAAGTTTAAATACTATTAAAAATTGGCTAACATAGGCATAGTATTGTCTCAGAAAAAATGTGCAAGGTAATTTACATAAGGTTATGTACATTACGTATGTTTAGTGATAACCGCAGCCCATTGACATTACTTAATTGTACAAAGGTCTGCGTATGCAATTATTTTCGTGAAATAATTATCAATGGCATTTTATTGTCACTATATTTTTTGCATTTTGAATTATACATTTAATGGAATGATAATCATGATATACAAGAACGAAAAATAAAGAAAGTCTAAGAAAATAAAGAAAGAAAAGAATAATAGCGAAAATACCAATACCCCGAGGCAATCTAACCTGTACTTCACTTGTTGAATGTGTTAGCTTATCTTGGAATTGGCAGGCAAGAATTTATAATTAACGAATTATAGCACACTTTTTAATACTGTTTGCATTTTTGTTACCGATAACTTATTGTATGTTATTTTTTGAAAAATTGGAAAACATTTTTTCATTAATTTATGTAAAACAAACAGGAAAAAAATATGTATTCAAAAGTCGTTGGTCATACAACAAAACGTCTGAAAACTAAAATATAAAAAATAAAGTAACAGTCTATATATGTCCCACTGCTAGGCAAGAGCCTCCTCTGTACAGAGGGTATAAAGTCCACCACGCGACTTTACTGCGGATTAGCATTTATATCTTCGAAATATTTTTCCTCACAATTTCGTTCACACAGCTCTTAGTTTTTTAATCGCATTATTCTGCCCTTAAGATTAACAATTTCATTGGTGCCGGCACCGGGGGTCGAACTCAGATTGCTCGAGTATATTAAATTAAAAGCAAGCGCCCGGACAATGAGCTATCACGGTGACTATGAATTTTAGGAGTAAAGAAAGATTTTGATAATTAAGAATTAAGAATGGTATTGATGATGAAAAATAACATTACTAATATCAATTAGAATTATTCTCTAACAACTGGTAATTATTAAACTTTTGAAACTGTACTACTTATTTTTGATTTCATTTTTTAAAACTACTGTACTTATTTTAATAAAATGAAATTCAGTAAAAACTGACACACCAATAACTTTTGTAAGCACACTTGACTGGTTGCGCCCGCGCGTTTACATTGCTACGAGGTGTGATACGATCACCGTAGTGAGCTACGCCCTAACGTAGCGTCTTAGCGTAGCGACCGCCAGTGCTCGACTGCCGCAGATTGCGGTCGCTCGTCCGCGCCGACCCGCGCACTCCGCAACGTAATGATTGACAAAATACTTCACCTGTATTTTCTTAGTGGGCATAAAGCTCGCGTAAACAAGTTGTAAAAGCAAACGCGTATCGATTTTAAATGATTGTATTTTAAATATAAAAAAGAATAAACCTTTTTAATGCGTACATAAGTACTGCTTATACGAAAAAAATGTTGTAAACAAACGAGTTTCTTACTTATTTTTTTTTGTATAACTCCTGTATAAGTTTTGGTTTTAGTAAGGAAATTCATAATTAATACCAATGATAATAATAGTGAGTATTCTGTTTACGTCCATTTTGTATGGGCAAAGACATAAATTTGAGATTAAAAAGTAAAATCCAATCTTTTTATAGCTCCCATACTTGTTTTGTATATTCATTGTAACTATGTGGTATACATATGATTCGAGTATACACCTTATTGGATAATAAAGCATGAAGAATCTCTTATAATGCTTACCCGAGCTCGTGTACGGGTACATTTTCTGTTCCACTTCAAAAGACGGATTACATTAAAGATAGAGAAGAAAAGTAGGCCATTCTTGAAAGGAAACATATTTGTTTGATATTGTTCATTTCTACTACAGAATATAATTTATTACGATGCGTATTTATAGATGAGCACTTAATTAGAATTATATTAAGCTGTAGTCAGTGTTGGCCTAATGTCATCCTGGCAAGAACCACGGGGAAGTAATTATTATATTGTTAAAAGTAACTAACGCGAAAGTCCTCTACAGGTGTTAGGTGTTAATAAGAGGTCTTCAAAATAAATGGCTATTTACAAAAAAAACATCGTACCACCTATACAAGACAAGTGAAAGTGAAAGTTTCATAGGCAGTCATGGGAATTAAGCCTCAACACGATGAATAATTTTCAAGTTATCGCCTTCTATTTCATACGTTTCGTACAAGGTTTCCTTTTTTCATAAGGAAAAAAATATTAATGTGGCAGCTGCCTGAATTAATATTATAATTACTAATTATATTTAAGATAATTAACGTTTACTCTGTCTAAGACTGTTGACATATTTCATAATTTATTAGGTTTTAAATGATTTGTCGTTTATTCTTTACATCACAAGTAAAGGAGCTTTGTGTATTCTTTTGTTTTGTTTTCTTTCTGTTTGCGATATACTCTGTAACTGCAAATTGCTTAAATATAAATCATTTTCCCTATCATTTTTGTAATATATTCGAACACGCTTTTGCAGCCCTTTTTTCCGTATTACCCCCTGAACCTTATCATTCTACCACCACGTTTCCTTGTCGATGACGTGACCTTCCTTAGAAACGCCAAGAATTCGCCGCCCCGCCGCGATAATTTCCGTCTGGGCTCAATTCCTAGCCTCCTGGCCAGTTTAAGCGTTAGTCAAGAGCTTATGACTTTCAACCTCTGCCAGGAAGTCGTTCTGCATCGGTCCATTCACCAACCACCGCTTAATTCTTGCTTTGTGTTTTTAGGCTACTTTTTTTTTCGAGGTAATGAAAAAGTCATGACATGATGACGATGTTGTGCCGTCAGCCTTTCGCCAGGAACGACTTTACAGTTAGTCACTTTGGCAACATGACATCGTCTGGCTGCAGATAGTCAATTTGAGTTGAATGGGACCCACTCTTATACGTAATAAGGTGCTGATCTTTCTTTTGGAAGAACGTATTCACGACGGCCAGGTCACACGCAATACAGTTTCTGAGAATGTTATCTCCCTCTGCATTGCGACGACCATAACCAAAACCACCGTGGACACGTTCATACATCTCAGCTGCCTTACCTACATCATCGTTTAGATCCCCCCCAACGACTATCAGTTCGGTAGTTGGTACAGCGCGTAATACCTCTTCAAACTGCTCCCAGAAGGCTTCCTTTTCAGTCTTGCTACAGCCCACCTGGGGGGCATAGGCACTAACAAGGTTGGTGGTAATACCCTCCATCAGTACCTTTACCCGTATGAGCCTATCGCTACGACGTTCAACTTAAAGGAGACCATATCAAAGCTCTTCAGAGAGTACTATCGCCACACCGTTTTTTCCCGAATGAGACCCAGTGTATACAATCCGGTAACCCTGTCCGATATTACAGGACTTATTACCCTTCCAGCGAGTTTCTTGAAGGAACGCACACTGGAACCGGACGTCGCATAAGTACATCTGCAAGTTATCTGCATTGTCCGGTTAGAGAGCCAATATTCCATGAGGCAAAGCGGAGTTTTCTTGTGGGTACTAACGTCTTTATCCGCGCCCGTAATGGACACGGTAGCCCTATCCCACTTATCGCAGGTTTAGGGCGATGTGCCTGCGCGTCGTGTAGCGACGACGCCCTAGCCATACCCAGCCTTTTCTCTTTCGTATCTGCTGTAATTGGTTTAATATGGAGCGATTGCCATCTGACCTCCAAAACCCCACTTTGAGGGGAAAACCAGGATAGTAAGTCGAGTTAGTTGGATAGGGAAAGAACAGAAGGATATGGTAGGCAGGATAAGGGACACAACTTTCTACTAAGGTGTGAAAGTGGTGGCTAGAGGACCCGGGGACACGTACCCGTATGTCCCGGAATAAATATCGGACAGATATTAG